TGCTTTTTTGTTTCGTTAATTGGTGAATTTTCTCTCTTAGAACTGGCAGAAGTGGAAGAGTTCCGCGCGTACGTCCGATACGCGAGTATAGTCACGAGGAAGGAGTCCAGGGATACCTTGCAGAGCATCGTCGACGACCCCGTTGTGAGTTCACTTTTATTATTAATAGGGTTTTTTTCTTTATAAAGTAGATTTACGCTCACAATTTCAACCCATAAATATAGAAAAAAAGGGGAGATATGGAATGACGCTATGTAAGATCGGGTACCGATGTCGCGACTTTTTAGCTTGTGTGCAATTCAAACTTTACGCTCTATTATCTACTACCATAACTTAAATATTTTGATTGGGTAGGGCTTAAACCGTAAAAACGACGTAACACAATTTTCAAATTTAACAAAATTAAACTTACAGTCACTTGAATAAGAGTTATATTACGATATTTCAGTATTTTTTAATCCTGGTTCAGCCATTCACCATCAGATGGCGTTTTAGTGAAAGTGCTAGTAGTATATAATAGCTAACTATTAGACGTTAGATGGCGCTGAAACTCATTTTTCGTTACACTAAGAACTCACGGAGCGGTTTTTACCCGCGTCTGCCGCGGGACCGCGGCATCTGTAGACTGTAACAGTTAAGTATGTAAAATTAGTAGCACATTTCACGGCGCGTTTTACGCCTGTAGTGGTGACGGTTGCTCGCGGTTGCCGCGGCGGGATACTAATAGAACCGCGCAGGACACGATCACCTGCACCCTTGGTGGCCGTCGTCGCCCGCGCACTTTGGCTGTCGGTTCAGGCGCAATGTTGTGCAGGCGCACGCAGTGAGTTCTTGCGATTAACTCTTAACTCATTGGAAAAACTTAAAAATTAAAAATCGCTACGTTTAATCTACGAGTATAATGGAATTTAAATATCTTAAATATTTAAAACAATAATACACACACATTTTCTTCAAGCAACAGCAACATACAAATTGACATGAAATTTAAACGGTTGTCCGAAATATGAGTTGTGTTAAAGTTACTCGAAATAAAATGTTTAGTAATAATAATAATAATAATAATAGTAAAATAAAAGAAATCAGTTTAACGTGAATGCTTTTCGCTTCGATATTTTAGGGACTTTAATTACAAATATCATAGTAAGAAATTCAAACATTTCAGTAAAAATTTATTGTCGATAAACATCAGTTATCGTAAATGAACATCACTATTTAAGTCTAGAAATTTCTATGGAGATAAAAAGAAAACATTGAATAATAATAGAAATAGTTACTAAAAATGCAAATAGCCGGTGGAATGATATCATCTCACTGGTTTTAATATTTTTCTTTTCACTCCAATTTTTACAAAGTGTATCGCTACAACTTGGCATTTTCACGTTTTACGAGAGATCTTGTATGTACAACGTTCGCCATGTCACTGTGGCGATGTTTGTACGCATGTCACCTCGATATGATCAAAATGATCATATCGAGGCGACACGAACCACGCCCCCATACCATATCTCCCCTTTTTTTCTATATCTATGCTTCAACCACAGAATAATAAATAGGTACAGGATAAGTGTTTAAAAAAAACTTAGAGTCACGTGTGCCAACAGTACGCGGAGTTCCGCAAACATGAGCTCTGTCCGCCATTTTCGCTTGTATGTACGTTATGGTCTTGTCAATAATCTGGCGCAAAACCTCGACAATCGTGGAAAAAAAATGCCTTAATCGGCTACTTTGAAGTGCAAAAATGGTAGTCGCACCGACTTGTATAATATTATCCATTGTGGTGTTTCATTATCACCATTAAATCTAATTTAATTTTAATAATTATTTCCATTTTTTTCTTTATAGTAAAACTTTTTTGTTATAAGAAACGAAAATAAACCTTATGCTGCTGCAATATGATATAATCGACTTATTTTTGGAGAATTAAGAAATCCTCTCGAATTTTAAACGCTACTCGTAGGCATCAATCGTTCGTCGTCTTTCAGCTATTGACCGCTAGATGGCAGCACATTGGATGAAATTGCAATGTAAAAACGTCGTAACTTGCAATAATAGGTATTGCACTTTCAACGATATGCCAAGAGGGTAAAGCTAAAATTATATTAACAGTCCAGAATTTACAACATCTTTTTAAATTAGAAAATATGACCGATCATTATCACGATTTCATAGAGTGTTTAACATGTGATTGGCTGTGTTTTGGTGACAACGATTCTGATAGTAATTGAGGTTTAAAGTTATCGAGTATACAAACCAGAAATAGAGACGAAATGTCATTTAGTTTGAAAACTATTCTGCCATATCATTACTGTGACAACTGCGCTCCGTTTGGCTAACCCCAGTTCGAAACAATTGACGGGTGTCGTCAATAGGTGTCGTCAACTATTTCACTTCAAATCGACCAGTTAACTTTTGTTGATAATTATTTTTTTCCCATTGCGATAATGTAAGTTTTCGTGACAGCGGTTTTGATTAGAGATGAAACGGTTAGTGTTTTGGCCGGATAACGGATATCCAACGATCACCTAGACCGGATATCCGGCCGCCGGATATCTGACCCAGTAACATATCGCGACCGGTTTTAAATAGAACCGACTTTTACCATTTAATGCAGAAAATCTGGTCGTCATCCACTTTAATTATTGAATATTTAAGTAGGTACTAAATTTACAGATAACTGTATCGAACTTCATTGTTCGTTCAGTGAGTAATAAACAGATTGGTCAACGATCCTGTAGTAGCTGGTTATCCTATTACCTACTATCTTCTTTATTCAATAAATCAATTTATTTGGCGTACTTATTGTGAATTTTTCTCACTTTTGAACATCCGGCGTCCGGCCGGATAGCGGATAGTTACCGGATATCTGTTTCATCTCTAGTTCTGATAGTAATCGTGGCTTAACGCCCTTACGTTGTTTTTTTTTCCCGTGATTATGCACCCTCATAATACAGTCTACCGTTTTTTGTCCAGCTCTCCGAGCGCCTGGACACTGCAGGGCACGGGTTCCGGCTAGCTGTGAAGTACTACCTGCCGAAGTTACTGCTGGCTCCCGTCGGTCACGTCTTCCTCTACCACAATTACGTGCTGGCGTTACTGCAGATCGCACCCGCCTCCGAGGACAGGGAGAGCTTTAAACAGGTAAGTGTTTTGGGATCGCATTCCCCACAGTTAAGTTGGGGTTTGTACAGATCCCCCAGTCATTTAGGGAGTCGTCTTGTTTGAGGCGTTCATGATTTACTACACTTGCCGCATTAAGCGGTTCCACTGTCGGCGTTCAGCCATCGTCGGGCTCTACTAAATGATTCTTCTATAGGAACTGTATAAGTTTTTACAGTAACATTCCAGAGCATACGTTATAATTTCGTTATAGACTGTTAATTGCGCAAAAGTGTTGCCTGCTTGCGAGCAACTAGTGATTGCAGACGATAAATATTCTATCGACTAACGCTTATCGAATAAATAGCCGAACTTGTTTCATTTGAATTATCCTCGACCCATTATTTTTCCAATTACTGAGCACAAGTTAATTCGAATGTCAATTTTATGTACATACATGCCTTGTATTTAGAACTATATTTATGAAAAATACAAAAACGAGACATATTTTTAAGTTTTTCATTTGAATTCAACATAGATAATCAAATCCGGCTATTCTTGTTAAAATGCATAAATAAAAAAAATATCTCAGTATAGCTGTCAAAATAATAATAAAGAAGACAATAACCTAATTAGTAATCATTAGAACGTCGTAACATTCTCCGTTCAGTCATTTTTGGCAAAATTTTACTTTCTTTCTCAATCTATTGATGAAACTATCGACAACAACTACATAACTGTTTAAAATTTTGTGACAATTGGCAACCCTACAAATGTCATTTTACTCAGTTTTCAAAGAAGACAGACTGTACGTTTAAAACTTACATAAAAATTATTTTAATTGAAAAGTCATGTTACAAAATTGAAGACTACGTGTTAGATAAAGATGTATGGAAAGACAACATGAGTCTAGATTCCTCACAAATTTCATTCAAAGTGTATTTCATAGCATTTAATTGAAAAGAGCAACGCATAAAGTTTCTCGCTCGTTCTTCTCAGGGAGGTCAGCGCAATGAACGAGCACTAGCTAAAAAAATGACGTTTTTAAGTGTACTAATTTTACCTATGGAATATATGATTCTTTGAACTTTACTTTGACTACTATAATTAAACAAATTATAGTAAAAAATCAAAAAAATCGTTTTATTTATTTACAGGTGGAATGCAATCTACATCCGATAAAGAAATCACTCATGAAGGCATTAGGAAATGGACCAAAGATGTGAGTTTTGTATAAGTTTGAAATCTTTGTCTCTGGAGGGGCCACTCGGACAGCCCCCCATTGTTAGAGATATTATCTTTATTACAATAAATACATAATAGTTTTAGAATATACGGATACGTCCACACAGGTTAGTTGTTGGCGCTGTACTATTTCAGCTTTCTAATTTGCGATTTCAGCGCCGACGAGAATTGACATTTAAAAGTGATATAAGGACAGGGATGGATGACCCATATTTCGTCTCTATTTCTGGTTATATACGCAACGGAATAACGTCTAATACGGTTTGCCAGAAGACGACGGTTCGATCTTTGTTATTAATAATTATAATTACGATAATGATTTATCCGATACTGCAACCAGGACTATCTGCAGACTACCTTACTCCTTAACAACTTACAATAGTTCATCGAGTTGGTTTTGAGGTTTTTTTTTTAAATTCCGTACAATTATTAATAAGGGCAGTTGATTTAGTTTTCATTTCTATTAGAGAGAGAGGCATATGTGAAGTATTCGGTGTGCTGACTCGCAGGGAAGCCACCCTGCCGATGGCTAGTCGCGCGCGGCGGCAGCAGGCCATCGAGAAGTGCGGCGAGCTGGCCAAACTGGTGGAGAATTGGGACAACCGAGATATAGGCCAGTGCTGCAACGAATTCATCAGAGGTACATACAATACAACTCTTTATAACACAGTAACAAATACATAAAAAGGAAGACAAAAGACAGGTACAAACAGGCAGCGTTATTGCTAGATAGCAGTCTTTACCAGGCTACCTCCAGGATAAACTTAAAGGTAATAATTAATTGTTCACATTTAGTGTTACCGTTTCACGATATAACTCTAAATGAAAATTAAAAGGTATTCAGTAAAAAGCTCTAAATGTTAAACGCTCTTAATAGTATGTAATAGTATATTGTGTATTAACGGTAAATAAGAAATTACCAACGAAGGTCTATTAGAAACCCGAAGCCGAAGGCTGAGGGCTTTAATAACTCGAGTTTTGTATTTTATTATTGTCCATGGTACATACATTGTTTTTCATCACATTTGCGAGGATGTAAAGACATTGTTTATTTCTTGCATGAATAAATATGGTTCACAACCAGCAATTATTGATTTTACAAATCGCGGTTTTTTTTTATCAACAGATGGCCAGCTAGCTATTCTTCCATAAATAATACAACTCGAACTAAAATGTAGCCATGATGGATAGTAAAAAAAATTGCTAAATTTTTATAAAGAAAATAACTAAAGAAGAAATTCTTAGTAATAAATATTTAAGTAGTATGTGGCTGAATTGCAATTAATTTTCTGTTTAGATAATATTTTAAGCGAATGTTTTAATGTTGAACTTAAGTAACCTCCTTGCTTGAACTTGAACCTGACCTATGTAAGGAAGTATGTCGTGCTACAAATAAAAAAGAAACTCCTTGCCGGCCATGTCTGTAATGGGAAGAAAAAAGGCCCGAGGGTTTATATAGGGTTTAAAGTCAAGTTAGCCACCACGCAATCATACTATTTACGAATAAGGGTGATGAAATAGTTATTTTTGATATAAGTGCGGAAAGTTAGTCATTATTCACGAGGCTCGAGGCTTCTTGGCCCGAGCCAGAGGCGAGGGTCAAGACGCGAGACAAGTGAAAATGACAAATCCGCACGTGTATCAAACGACGTTTTTTAATACATTTGGGAAAAAACTAACTTGAAAGTAAAATAAAACAGTATTTAAAAAAAACTCATTTTCGGCTAGTAAATTAAAATAATGAAATACAACCACTGCAACCATTATTTAAAAGTCAATGGAAATATAGTTCTAACGTGCTGTTTTTGTTTATTTTCTGTAATATCGGTCTGTAACCACTTTTCTTATGAAGTCCTGGTACTTTTGTTTAAACTTCTTTGGGAACCCGTGCACGGTAGTGAGATACAATTTATCTGTAATACATAAAACAAATATATACATAAAAATCTCGCCTGTCACCCATTCAGGGGTAGGCAGAGACCTCCACTCGATACGTTCATTATATAGTATTTGTAAATAAATATAAGTTTTAATGACGAATGACTTACGTCACAAAGCACATAAATATTAAATAAATATACAACTTCTTTAGTTCTGTGCTTAAGATTTGAAACAACAGTAAATAAAAAAAAATGGAAAAGTAAAAAGCACTAGTGCGAAAATTCCAACTTTCGGCACGATTTGTAGTGCGAAAAATACCACGTTTTGAGCAACTGTATTAAAAATAGTTTTACTGCATACTTGTTATTCTTAAAAGTTATATTTTTTGTTACAGAGGACACGTTATCGAAAATCGGTCCCGGCAAGCGGATAGCAGAACGACGGGCGTATCTGTTCGACGGGCTGTTGTTGCTCTGCAAACCTATCACTGGTTTGGTTAGTAGTTCTTATTGCTTTGATGTTTAAAAGAGGCAGAAAATGGGAGTGCGAGACGTTTTGTAGTGAGGTCGATAGACGATACAAGTTGCGGACTGAAGACATGGGTGAGACATGTATAGGAGATTTATATAAAGCTGTTGGTGAAGTGGTAGGTGGGTGATGGTGAAGCTGTGGTTGTGGTATTGACGGTGTTAAGCGATAATATATCCGAAAGTGGTACGCATTAGCTTAAAGAGTGTGTATTTACTCCAGACTTGAACGCTCTGAATAGTGCTTTTCGGGTAACATAGATGGCGGTAGTGTAGTTAATTTTTTGCTGTACGTATAAGCGCGTTGCGCACCGCATCCGATTCACATTCGTTCTGAATCTGAGGGTATATCTATTTAGAAAACTCTGTGTCTCTTCGTTAGTACACGTACAGATAAAATGATCCCTGTGCCATTCTTATGTCGTTGATGTTCCACCTATTCGCACTAAGCGCTTTGCTTCCTCTTTACTGATGCTTACGGCAAAGGAATGGAATGCTCTACCGGCCATCTGTATATCTCGAAAAGTACAATTTGGGGCTATTCAAGGCTAGATTGAATAGGCATTTTTTAGGTAAAAGTATTCCATCGTCGCTTAACATCAGGTGAGATTGTGGCCAAGCGTGTGTCTATTATACATAAAAAAAAGTCACCTTTATTTCTGGGATTCGGAACTGATCGACGACGGAACGCGTTTTTCGCGGAAGTTGAAAAGGTTCGACTGAGCCAGCTGCCCCGCAGGTGACGGTGAACGCCAGCGCCGGGTCCGTGGGCGGCGTGCAGCTGAAGCTGAAGGAGAAGCTGCACGTGCGCAAGCTGGAGCTGGTGGACCGCGCCGACGGCGAGGGTGAGTGGCGTCCGCGCTCGGCCGCCCCGCCCTCTCCCCGAGTGACGCCCTCCCGCCTCCTCCGCAGAGGGCCGCCACCTGCTGGAGCTGTGTCCGCGCGTGGGCCCGCCCGTGCTGCTGGCGTGCGCGTCGTGCGCCGAGAAGCGCAACTGGATGTGCGACCTGGTCATGCTCAACACCAAGCCCATGCTGGACCGCAGCCTGGACAGGTGAGTGGCCCGGCCGCGGCCCGCCCCCGTCCCGCCCCGTCTCACGGCCCTCTGCCGCAGCATCCTGCTGGACCTGGAGCGGCGCCACCCGCTGAAGCTGCCGCCGGCGCGCCTGTACCGCTTCGCCGTGCCCGACTCGCCGGACAACATCGTGCTGGAGGAGCGGCAGCACGCCAACGCCGGCGCGCCGCTCATCAAGGTGCGCCCGCGCGGCATTCCGTAGCCTCTAGAGGCTCCTGTCTTCCCTTGACACCTCGAGGTTCCGTTTCATAATCTTCCTCCCGTAATATGCGCTGGTATAAAAATGTCAATACGCAATATGTACCTTTAAACTTTCGCGGTGCATTGTACTAACATTTGGACAAAGGAACAAACGCGTTTACGTACGAATAAAAACGTTTCAAATCGAGGCCGACTGAGCCAGCCCTTGACCGCGGCCAGTGCAACCCGGCCGAAACTTCGGGAAACCTAGGTAGACGTGAAAAATACCAACTCGTATTTAAACATGTTTCTTCCCGTTTCCAAATGTTAGTACCAATACGTAAGTGCTGCATTTAACAAAAGTCATTATATCACGAGATTACTGTGACGAACGCTTTAACTTCTTCAAATTATGTTCACAACCTGTAGAACAAATGAACGTCGGGTCTGCGTCCATTTGTTAAGTTAACGATATTTAGGTTAACGATAATATTACACCTTTGTTACCTTGTTTCCAAAGTGGCACCCTACTATCAATATGTGACACCGTGTTTCCTGCTTTGGCATATTATTATCGATATTTGGCACCTTTATCTCCTTATGTGCATTATATATAGATATATTGGCACCTAGAGGTTAACGATAACATAACTTATAACTCTTTCACAACCTTCTTTACAGCGTGGCACCCTATTTTCAACACTTGACACCCTATTTTAGGAAATAGGATAGGGTAAAGTAGGCTTTTTGGCACATTTACCTTGTTCTGAGACACCCTGCTTTCTTCCCTTAGCATCTAGAGATTAACAATAATATTACTCTTTTACAACCGTCTTTCCAGCGTCACACCCTATTACCAATACTTGGCACCCTATTTCCTGCTTTGGCACACTATTATCGGTATTTGGCACCTTTGTTTTGTTCTGCGGCAACCCGCCATCTTCCCTTGGCATCTAGATGTGTGTCTCCAGCATGGCATTCTATTATCAATACTTGACACCCTATTTCTTGCTTTGGCACACCATTATCGATATTTGGGACCTTCATCTCCTTTTACCATTCATTCATATCATTCATTAAGTCTACAAACGATATTAGAGTTAAATTTACTTTCCCTCCACAGGGCGCAACACTCCTAAAACTAGTAGAAAGACTAACTTATCATATATATGCCGATTTGAACCTCGTGCGAACGTTCCTAACCACGTATCGCTCGTTCTGTTCGCCTGGCGAACTGCTCGACTTGCTCATCGAGCGGTTCAACATTCCGGAACCGAGCGAGGTCTACGACGCGCCAAGACAGAGTAAGTAATGTCATTTTTAATTATCAATAACGATAATATTACAAAAGACAGACAATTTAACAACGATCTTCATGTTCGCAATTAAATAATTTAGTTTTATTTATTTTGTTGTTTATATGATATTTGTACTACCATGGAACAATAATTCAAGTGAATTGCTTATCGCGATACAGAACAGCGTAGTCGGGTATTTAGTACCCTATTGGTACACCAGATGTCGCCAAGATCACCAAAAAGCCATTTCGGCCCCTTCTACGTAAAGTACCACGTCGAAATTGCCAAGTCAGAAATGAACATAACACATGACTTTAGCATTTCTCAGTTTTATTCAGCAAAGCCATCTCTTTATATTATAAAAAATTAAATCTAGTTATAAGACGGAATTTTGATTTCAGTGTTATGGTCTGTAGTGTGGAGATTAATTAGCACTCCTCTTGAGTTTATTGGTCAATTTTTTTGGTGAAATTACTCCACTAATTTGTTATTATTGAAACAAAGATCGAACCAACATCTGTTGCCACACCGGGGCCACCAACGGCAAAAAAGCTTAATTTTTTTTTATTTGCAACATAACGAGGATTCTACACTAAACTGTCACCTATTCTATCGTTGCTTCGATTTAACACAGAAATACTATTTTTTTCTTTTCTGTATAAATAATTGTTAATAAATACAAACATAATAACCGCAGCTTGTTACGTACAGCTTACCGCATATCACTACAAAACCCAATATGACCGACCACCAATTACCACTATGATCACTTACAACTATGGCTTGTCTTTTTCAAGATGGAGTAAAATGCAAGCAGCTAGTGTTGTAGTCGATAAATATTCCATCGACTATCGATTGAATGTTGGTCACGCTTATGCAATAAATAGCTGAATTTGTTTCATTAACTGCCTGTGCAGCCGAACGGTTACCATGCCGGACTGCTACGCAGAGGTCCCGGCTTCGATTCACTTGGCGGGATAAATATTTGTATGACCTACATTTATTTCTCTCGTGAGTATGGTTGTAATTTGTGGTTGTCTATGTGTGTGTCCATGGCACCCGCGGCATTTTGATTTTTAAAAATAAAATATAAGTGCGCTTTTGACATCCATCTCACGTGATGGAAAGTGACGTTGAGGTCGACTATGGAGCATGCACACCTAAATAATGCCTATTCATTCTCACCTTGAAAAGGCCCAAGTTCGCCATATAAATGTGCAAGCGTAACGCTTCGTGCGAATCTTTGGGTGTCCTCTATGAGTGTGTGCGCGTTATTTTTATTATTAATTGAATCATCAGCGGCCCATTAAACGTACAACTGCTGGGCACAGGTTATGACGCATTTAGTAATCATTAGAACGTCTTAATGTTCACAATTCAGATAAAATTGTACCTTCTTTCACTATTTATCGATAAAACTGTCGGCAACAACTGCATGACTATTTTAAATTTTATGAAAACTGGCAATCTTACAAATGTAATTTTGCTCTGATCTTTAAAAAAGACTGACTATTCAAATTTTCAACAAATTTTTCCTATTACCACTAATGACTGTTTAAATTGGCTTATACTCCGTCCAACCTTTTATTTTACTTTTTACATAAGCGTACCTGTGAAGTTTCATAATTATTGACAAGCAACAATAGACAAATAATACAATACTTCATGGACACTGTTTTTTTCGTTACTATAGTGAAGCGACGTGCTCCGTTGTATAGGTTTTGGTACCTGTCTAATACATTATAATGAAATCATTATAATTTGTAATGGTTTTAATATACCACCAAGGTCGCACGTTACCCCATTCCTTAACACCTAAAATATGAAAATGTCAATGTATTAATTCGATTAAAACTTTTTAACCATAAAAACTACCGCTGTTCAAAGAATGAATTGTTTTTGAACAAATTCAAATTACGATTAAAATTTCGAATCGGTAGCGCATTAGGACATCACTAATTGATTAGTAGTCGAGCTGTCAAAAGTGTAATAAATGGTTGGATGGACTATAGGTTTTCGCGATTCCTAGACATTGGAAATATTTTTTTCGGATCTCAGTCAAGCCGTTACCATGAGACCTGTAAGTCGCTCGAAACCTAATAAATAGTAAACTTAAACCGCATGGAACCTGCAGTAGCAGTAGAGTTTGTGAGAGTTCGTCCAGGGAAGTACTGCCACCTTGCCTATTTCTGCCGCCAAGTTCAAAGGGTAAGGGTGCTGGTGAAATTACAGGCACATGGGACTGTAATTTCCCCAGTACTTCCCTGGACGAACTCTTTCACAAGAAGCTCTATTGCTACTATGTGTTTAATCAGGACTACTACAAGAGCTCATTGTAGTCCCTCTTAAAACACCCGAAACATTTTGGTTTGTTTGAAAAAACAAATATACGCGATTTTGATCCGAAAGAATGGTTTCACTCCCAATGTTAATTGACCATTTATGACTGTAAATTGACCACACATTGCAACAAAATGAAAATCAACTACACTTTGTCCACAATTCACTAAAGAAGCCCATAACTCGTCCACAATTGACCACAAATTGACCACTTCCTGAATTTTCGCACGCTATCAGTAACAAGGAGCAAACCGAAGAAGGACGTCAGTCCCAACGCGTCACTGCTTGAGTATGACATAGGTAATGTATCACTGTAGCTATAGTTCATTTGCGTTAACACCTGAGGTGGGCAAGCATCTGGGTTTTAACTCGACGATTTGTTAACTCCGAGTTTAAATCGGGTTAAAACCCATTAACGCCCAAATTAAAAAAATATTTACAATTAAATATTTGTTGTAAATAGAGTTTTAAGTAATTAATAGATTCAGGCGTTACTTTGCGGATGTCCATATTAATAAAAATGGAAGTAAATTAATTTGCCACTCCGCGAACCCAGTGAAGGTTAAATCGTGCAAAATAGCTGCGCTTGCGTTGAACATTCATATCCAAAAAAATGTGTGAGTGAATAGGGACTTGTACACTAAACCGGTTTTAGTTTTTAGTAGTAGTAGTTTAGGTTTTAGTTAATTACCTAAACCTTTATTCTATAGTGAGTACCCGGTTTTATATGTATTTTCTTTCTTTGTAGAAGAATGAAATGACGTAAATTACCTTTAAGTCAAAGTATTTTTTTATGAGTTTCGGCTTAGATACAAGTCCTTTGAGTCTTCGTTTAGTTATCGGGATCCTCAATAAATATTTTCCATTGTAGTTCTAATATATTATTATGTTTTCACGTTCACAAACAAAAAAAAAACTTTGAATTCGTAATTAGTGGAATTTTCAGGATAAAATCTTTTGTGGTTTGATTTAAAATAAGAACTATAGTTCTAACTTTCTTCATCACTATTTCTTTCTTCATATTTTCTTCATAATGTACTCAAAATAAAAATAATCTTTTTAAAACTGTACTTGTAAGTTCAAAAGCCCGCCATTTTGTCGCAGTGAAAGTAATAATAATAAGTAACTACGTGACTAGTGACAATTTAATAATAATAATTTATTTCCGATAATTAAAAAATTCATATCATTGGTTAGTTATACAAACACTTATTAACTAATGTTAGTCTATCTATATTACTTTGTAACTACACATAACACAATAATAATAATAATAACTACTGTTGAACTTCCAGTCAACTTCAGCCATTGTTTCCATATTCGACAATCATGTTTGTCTGATAACACTTTTAGAAAGACATTGGAGCATCTTGGGCGATGCATTAAAGATGCCATCCTCTTGCGTAAAATGGCATGGAAACCGTCTGTGTGCGCCTTCGCGAACATTGCAGATGCGTTGCAGAAATGTGGCAGCCCCATCAGATTTCTAAAAGTATTATTATATTGAACGCGAGAGACGCTAACGGATCGTTGGGTGTATTTCACCCACACCGCTCGTGTAAAAGTTTGGCTGTACGCTTTAAAAAGCGCACTTTGACAGTGTCTGTACACCGAGAAAATCTGCGAGCGAGCATATTCCCTCGGACAATATCCATATCATCTCTTAGATCCGATGTTACAATATGATCTAAGTACTTAAAGTGATCAACCCTATTTAGAACTTTGTTATTTAACCTAATGGGCTTATATATACTTGTTTTGTTCACAGCTGATAGTATAGAGAGCTTAGCGAGTACGGATTCAGAGAAATTAAGCAAAAACACGACCAGAGAAGACTGGAAGCGGTATAGGAAAGAATTTCAACAGCCAGTTAAATTCAGGTATTTATTTGTTAATTTAAGACGACGCCGAGAAGGCTGGACAGTCTCGGTGGGTTTGGTAAGAAATTATGGGAAAAACAGTGAAGGATTTTAGGGGAGATCTTTGCCTAGTAGGTAACTCAATACAGTCGCCGTTAGTTGAAAGGGCGCACGTAATGTTTTTGGTTTTTTTTTTCAAAAAATGTATGAAGTTATTTATTTATTAAGGATTGCCAACAAAGTTTACAACTTAACGTATACAAAACAATAAATACTTATTAATTAACATATAGTTGCAACTTCAGTTATAGGCAACCACACCATGTATATTTAAATGTACAAAAAAAAATCTCTACCGATAAAATGAAATTAAAATTAACAATAATAATAATTAATTAAATTCAATAAATAAATAAATTAAACATAAGCTAAAGCTACAACATTGTTCTTTCCATTGTTATAGCGAGAGAAAAGTATATATTTTTTATTTCATTTCTTTAAACATTGTTTTCTCGGTTTTGAGGTTATGTCATAAGTGCCCTGGGGCAGAGTAGATTAATAAAGATTGTTAATTTATTTCGTGCATTGACATTATAAGCATGGTCGGGGTTTAATGTTGAGCATTGAAGGTACAAGTTTTTGCAATTTGGCATATGAGGATGGTTTGATAATTCTGTTTTGATAAGTATTTGAGATGAAAAAAAAAATTTAATTATGGTTTATTTTTCTACGTAATACCCTTTTAACTCTATAAACCTTGACCAGCAGTATCCCGCCTTCCTAAAGTCATGAAAAAAAATTTTTTTTGTCAAATTCAAAAATGAGCCTGTTTTTCAGCTATCAGTTCTTCGTTTGATGCAAATCGGTAAAAAAATCAAATAAAAAAGTTAAATGGTACCAATTTTGGTGACTACATTGATAAGTTTTGATGTTCTGATTGTAGACGAGAAACAGAAATTCCGTTTTCTTCATTTTCAAAAAGTATATCGGCCTATGTGACTTTTTATTTGTATTTCTTTTTAGTTTCCCTCTAATTTAAAAAAAGTAACGTCAGTTACTTAGTAAGGCGTTCTAAATGAAGACTTAAAAAATAAATTGCAATAAAGTGAAACCGCCCTTGTATCTTGGGAGAGTGTGGATTATTTTCCGACGGTTACAGTATGTCGATGAAGCGGCCATTATTTACTTTTAAATCAGTTTCCCAAGGCGGTCTGAAGAGTTCTCGGGGCGCCAGGGGCTACCTTACATATGATCTTTTCCTCGCAGGGTGATCAACGTGCTGCGGCACTGGGTGGACCAGCACTTCTACGACTTCGAGCGCGAGCCGGCGCTGCTGGCGCGGCTGCGCGCCTTCCTGGAGGGCGTGGACGGCAAGCCCATGCGCAAGTGGGTGCAGAGCGTGCTGAAGACGCTGCAGCGGCGCGTGGGCGACGACGAGGCCGGGGCCGCCGGGGCCGTGGCGCACGTGTTCGACCGCCTGCCGCCCGCCGTGCTGCGCCACGTGCACGAGCCCGAGCGGCACCGCTGGCACCCGCTGGCGCTGCACCCGCTGGAGCTGGCGCGCCAGCTCACGCTGCTGGAGTTCCAGCTCTACCGGCAGGCCAGTAGCTGTGTTCATTGACACCAAGTCTTGTAATGTTTGCTCTTCTCACTAGAACTTGCTTTCGCGACGAACATTCAAAAAAGGTCAAAATTGCAAAGGAACACTTAGTCATCGAGTTTATGTACTCGACATTTATTTTACCACCATTTAAAAAAAATACAATTAAATTACGATTACTTACACTTGGCAGTTGGCTGCATGAGTTTTCGTTTTGCGTGTTTACATAGTTCATCCAGTAGGTTTATTAAAAAATTTAGAGAAGTGGACAGTAATGGATTTTCATAAATACTTTGCAAACCTTAGCCGGGAAGAAGTCACTCGGTCCATACATGGTAAACTTTCCACGTTCGTTTTTTTGAAAGTAATGCAAAGATTTCCGAACATGTTTGAGAAATAGTATCTTTTCTGCTACTGTACTTTAATCTATCAATTATAATTTCATAAGCCTTATCATAAAGTCGCTCGTTTTAGTTCTGAATCAAAATTCTATTGTCTATAGTACTCGCCACTGAGCTGAAAAATTTCTTTATAGTTCTCAGATTGTAACATAACACCGAACGCGCATGAGCGACCCGTGCCCGTTCATTACTATGCCGCTAAACTGACATCCGTTTATAAATTAAGTCGATCCTATTAATCGGTGCGCCTTCAGGTAAATTGTCTCAATTTAAACGTTAATCGTGTGTACACATGATTATACAATCGAATAATCGACCTATAAAGTGTGTTGAAATTGTATAATATTTTCATGCCCCAAATAAAATCCACGGGCCTTTTTTTTCTCCATTATAGCCATGGCCGCTAAGGAGCTTTTTTTTAATTTGTAGCATGACATACTTCCTAAATAGGTCAGGTTCAAGTTCAAGCAAGGAGGTTATTTAAATTCAAAATTAAATTGTTATATATAAACATTATACATCTAAACAGAAAATTAATTGCAATTCAGTCACATACTAATTAACTACCTATAACTAAGAATTGTTTATATTTGGAAATGAAACTGTTTTTCCGGTTTTAATTCACGTATGTTTGTTTTTTCAAACAAACCAACGTTTCGGGTCCTTTACAGGTCCCTTGGTCACGGTTGACTGAGGTAGTACAGTCATCAACCAGTTATGTCTAAGATTAATGCAAACCACCCTATTTTTTTTCACTATAGTTACAAAAGTTATTAATTAAATACCTCATTTTTAATTTTACAATAGTTTCATTTCCTATGTATAACAATTGCGAAAACCTAAGAATTCTTATTATTGGTTTTAATTATTTTGTGTATGCAATTTTTTTTACAATCCATCATGGCTGTATGCGTCTTTGCACTTTTCAACATTTTACTTCGAGTTGTATTATCAATGGCAGAAAAAAAAAACCAAAAAAAAACCCGCAATTTGCCAAACCCATAGTTGTTGTATTGAACTATATTTATATTGTATTTATTTCTTCGCAAATCTGATGAAAAACATTATATTTATCACGAACGGTCAAAAAATACAAAACTCGAATTTTTAAAGCCCTCAGCTTTTGGCTTCGGGCTTCTAACAGACCCTCGTTGGTAATTACGTATTTACCGTCCTTAATACGTAATGTACAATTATTGGTACCGCGGGATAAAAAAATTACATACTGTAATGTTCTGTTACGACTACATTCGATATAAAATTTTCTTCACGTATCGACCCTTCCTACGTAAAGCATCGTATGTCGAAATTGCCAAGTTTACAGGGGAGCGTTTTAAAGTTTTGAATTCACTGGAATGAGCATAACACGTGACTTGTATTTCTCAGTTTTATTCGGCAAAACTCATATAGAATATTGTAAAATATCCTAGATATCGGTTAGATGAAAAACCACAATTTATTTTATCATTTTACAATTTAATTTAGCATTTCTATGCTAAAGTCACGGTGTTATACTCATTTTAGTGAATTGAAAACTTAACGCTCCCCTGCAAACTTGTCAATTTCGACATACGATACTTTACGTAGGAGGAGTCGGTGTGTACAGTTTTCTAATAAAGCGACGTTGAAACAAAATGCACGCGCGTATAATAATTGCCGCTAGAGTAATCCTTTCATAATTACAGGTGAAACCTTCGGAGCTGGTGGGCGCGGTGTGGACGAAGGAAGACAAGGAGAAATCCAGTCCCAATTTGCTCAAGATCATTAAACACACCACTAATGTGAGTGCACTGTAATAGCATTCTTCTGCGGACTGTCAAATGTGACATTTTTGTCATGATTGGAAGACGCACGATCTTACAAGTTTCGAAGACGAATTGACTGATACTGCATTCGTAAAAATTTGGTGGGTAGTTGAAAAGCTACGGCTATGAGAGGACGTCCACTTACGTCCTTTTTTAACCGATTTAAAAAAAAGAAAATTTTTTTTTGTTGTATGTATGTTACGCGATCTGTGAACCCATTCTGATGATCATTTTTTTTTGTTGGAAAGAGGGTACCTCGGTACTGGTCCCATGAAGAAAATATTCGCCCTCTAAGGGTGGCAAACTAGGGGATGAATAACTTTTGAGGTCGGATTTTTTTAGTACTCTATACTGAGATTATTCACTGTCATATCGCCATAGTGTTATAATGTTTACTTCGTAATTGGATAAACAATGTTTTTTTTTGCTGAATAGTTCACCCGGTGGATGGAGAAATGGATTGTTGAAAGCGAAAACCAGGATGAGCGAATTGCTGTGGTGTCCAGATTTCTGGATGTCGCTATCGCGTTGAGAGACTTGAACAACTTTAACGGCGTGCTGGCCGTCGTGGCCGCCTGCGGCAGTGCCTCGGTGCACCGCTTGAAGACCACGTTTTCGGTGAGTCATCAGCGAAACGAGATTTATTATTAAGAGCTATTGACACATCGACGCATCCTACGTAAAGTATCGTATGTCGAAATTGCCAAGTTTACAGGGGAGTGTTTTAAAGTTCTCCGTTTCATTCGGCAAAGCTTGTTACTCACATAGAGTGATCATCTAATAGATCATCTAACCGATATCTAGGATTTTATGATATTCAACGTGTGTAACGAGATTTGCCGAATAAAAGTGAGAAATCTAAAGTCACGTGTTATGCTTCTTTCAGTGAATTCAGAACTTTAAAAGGCTCCGCTGTAAACTTGGCAATTTTGACATACGATACTTTACGTGGGAGGGGTCGACATTAGCTTTATTTCAGAATATATTGTTTTATAATCGAAATTGGAACCATTTGAAAATTTTTTTTTTTATAATATCCAGTGACGGGCTGAACAAGTCGTGTGCTTATTGGTAAGCTACACACCTGTCCATAATAGTTGCAGTGCCACTCAGAGCTTTAAATTGCAAGTGTCTGAGGGGCACTGCCACTGCGCCCGTCACCCTGAGTTCGATCAGCAATGTTTCTGCCGCGAAGCAGCAATGTGAGCATTACTACATTCCGGCTTTGAAGGGTCAGGATGCTGGTAAAAATTACAGGTACGAGAGACTTGTCAACTTATTCTCAGGGTGACGGGCGCAGTGGAAGTTTCCTTGAGATCTTTGCGATTTAAAGCTATTAAGTGGCACTGCAACTGTTATGGACAGACGTGTCGCTTACCACCAGGCGCACGACATGTTCGTCCCATCACTTGATATTACAAATAAAAAAAAGTCTTTTCTGCATACTTAGACCATCTTTTATTAGGCTAAAAACCACAATAGCTTACAGCAACTATTGGTGTTGGCCCTTAGTTTGAATCAGATGGATCTATCACTGCACTAAGGGGTGGCAAACTAGGGGATGAATGACTTTTGAGGTCGGTTTTTTTAGATTATAATAAACTTCGTTTATTTTTGCAGCTCGTCTCCGTACGCCATTTGAAGGCATTGGAAGAGTTCCGGGAATTGAATAACGACCACTTTCGAAGGTATCAGGAGAGGCTGCGGTCCATCAACCCGCCTTGCGTGCCCTTCTTCGGCATGTACCTCACCAACATTCTGCACATCGAGGTCGGCAACCAGGGTGAGGCAATTTCTCTTCATCATCATCTAAATCTACCTCTGAACTTGTAAGGCTTGAATTTAACGAAGTGACCTTGACAAGGTCTTCTAGCACTTCTTTTTTTTATAGAAAAGGGAACCGGACAACAAAAGTATTTGAAATTGATCATAAAACTAAAACCTTCATTTACTACCAAACATTTTTCCGGACTTAAATCGCGTATATTTGTTTTTTCAAACAAACCGACGTTTCGGGCCCTTTACAAGTCCAATGGTCACGGTTGACTGAGGTGGTGCAGTCTTCAACCAGTTATGTCTAATATTGATGCAAACCACCTTATTTTTTCACTATAGTTACTATAGTTGTTAATTAAATACCTTATTTTTAATTTTACAAAGAAAACATTCCAATTTACGCTATATTAAGTTTTACAAATTATTTTATCGAATGAATTTTTATTAAGTTCAATTTATTATTAATTATTAATAGAAATTAGAATAAACTAAAACATATTAATTAGTACTGCAGTCTTATGTCTGTTTGGGATTTTTTATTAGAGGAAATACTGGATCCCAAACTGGTGGTACGGAGAAACCATCTTCCCTGTTGAAATTAGGATGTTTTTTAATTTCAATGGCCTCTCGCAGCATCCTGGGTAGATAACGGACTTCTTTTGCAAGGACCTGGGGTTTGTCAAACTTCATTGAATGTCTAGGTTTATCCATGACATGCTCGCAGACTGCAGACTTGTTATAAATATTTGAATAACATATTTTAATCTCATTTAAAAAAATGCCGCGCAAACGGCACTACTTGTCAACTCGGAACACGTGACGTCATTGGTAAGTAAACTACAGAATTTCTCGTATTGATTTCCTCAATCCAACTTTTTCACACCTTTTAGTTAAAAAGCGATTAAACAAAGAAAAAACACAATGTAATAGTGACGTATCTTTATTTATCTACATATACTGTTGGGTAATTTTCTGAAAAATTTGAAATAGTAGAATTTTTTCCGGAAAAAATCTGAAAAGTAGGAAAAATATAATTTGGAAGGCTCATATTATGTTTTACGTTTAGAAATATCTTTTGAAGTTTTATTTAGCGTGAATAATATCCGGAAAATATTTATATTTTTGAAAAAATATGATTTTTTCAAACTCTCTACCTACGTATGACGTCACGTGTTTGCACAACAGAAAAGAAATTACAATTTGAATTTTCTTATTACATTTTAGATTTTATTCTGATCATTGTTTTTTTAACTGCCTCCGTGGCCGAACGGTTACCATGCCGGACTGCCACGCAGAGGTCCCAGGTTCGATTCCCGGGCCGGGAGAAATATTTGTATGGCCTACATTTATTTCTCTCGTGAGTTTGGGTGTAATTTGTGGTTGTCTATGTGTGTGTCCATGGCACCCGCGACACAGGGCTTCCCTAGTGCGGGGCTATGTTGAGTGTGAGCGTTATAGTGTGAGCGTTATTGTCCGATTATCTATTAGACAAAATATAAACGAAGAAACAGTGATAGTAAACCTATTTTTTTCAGGCAACAAATTGCACTAAATCAAAATGACAAATGACACGATAATGTTTGGAACCTTTGTTATTATTTTTATAGTCCTAAAAAGAAGGATGGCGAAAGCTGCCCCAATAACGACGAAGAGCCGTACATGGACATTGCTAGTATAATTTTGCGTTTTAGTTTATGCCTAGTCATATTTTTGTATATTTTTAGAAGTCGAGAATGAAAAAATTAGTAAGTATTTTAGAATAGATGCAAGAACAGGTAACGTGTCATTTAAGCATGATTGAATGTTTACTTATTTGAAGTATTGGTTATTTTATAGTACACACATAAAACATTAAAGCTATAAAATACCTAATGAAGTAATCAGTTAAACAGTATTGACATAAAGCAAAAAATAAAACACAATGTGACAAAAATACATATTTAGACAATATTTAAATGAGATATAATGATAGTTGCAAAGGAACGTTTTGACAAGAGACCTCTTGCCAACGTCAATGTTACATTGATATTGAGAACAGAGTGATCATTTGTGGCAGATTTCTGCCATTTGGGCAGATTTAATTTTTATTCATTTTCATTGCTGCAGAACATGATAATGATGGTTTGGCAGATTGGGGAATATTCGGGAAGTTCTTTATTATTTTTGGGAACGAACTGAAAACTTGTTTCCTGCTACTACGAACAAACATCTGAAGCGAAATACGGGACAATATTATAAATATAACCTATATCAACTTTATAAACCCAGCTTCTACAGGCTGTATTCAATTAGCTTTTTTAATGCTTTGTGACACGGGATGTCGCTATCCTTCTTTTAAAATATACAGTGTAAATCGAATTTAATGATACAAATAAAATATTAATTTTGAATTAATTCGTCCACAGACTATCTACCGAACTCGGAACTGATCAACTTCTCGAAGCGACGGAAAGTTGCCGAGATCACTGGAGAAATCCAGCAATACCAGAACCAGCCATATTGCCTTACCGTCGAACCTAAGACCAGAGTGAGTGTTGGTTTTAATAATTTTGTTATTGTATAAAAAATACACAATTAAAAAACTACAATATCTATATATACAATATCAATAACTATAAAATTACATTTGAAATCGTCACATAGATTAAACACGACTACATGTTTGTCTTTTGTTTCCAAGATAGTGTAAAATAACAATATTATGTAAAAAAAGATTGCCACCTTACAAGCAGCTAGTGATTACAATTGATAAATTTAAAATGTTATCGACTATCGACTGAATATTGGTTACGTTTACGCAATAACAGCCGAACTTCTTTTATTTAAATATAAATCGAGATTCAAGACGTAAAAACTAAAAACTGATAACGTAAAACGTACCAATTAATAACCTATCCTCAGTACAGAGTACTAAAAAAACCGACCTCAAAAGTCATTCATCCCCTAGTTTACCACCCTTAGAGGTCGAACATTTTCTTCAAATTTAAATGGGACCACTTCTGAGGTACCCTCTTTCCAACAAATAAAGAATAATCAAAATCGGTTCACAAATGGCGGAGTTATCGCGTAACATACATACAAAAAAACATACAGTCGAATTGGGATCCTCTTTTTTTAAAAAATGGACGTCGTATTGGAATAATAAGCTCGTACGTAGCTTTACGAATTAATTTTAATTATTGATGAAACAGATCTCCGCTTCTGTTTCCGTAACTGCGGAACTTCGGCACACTTTTGCACATCTTTTCTCGTTTCTGCTTTCTTAACTTTTATAACGTAGCTTTAAACGGAAGTTTACAATGCTCGCGACGGATCAGGCTCGTGCGCGGTTTGCTTGACGGTGGTGCGTGCATTTTTTAGCAGTTCTGTGATGTCAACCAAAAACAAGCCCTGTTTAGAATTATGGCCTTGAGATCTCTATAGCATTTGCACTTCCGCATCTGCTTTCGTTTCCGCTAAGATTTGGTTTTGACATCTGTTTCCGTTATGACTCTTCCCTTGCATCCCTAATTTCAATACCAGTGAGGCAATTGTCAAAACTCCGAAAAAAGGCGATAATGCAATGATTAATCATTAGAACGTTATAACGTTCACTATTCATGCATTTCAGTAAAATTTTATTTTCTTTCACAATTTATCGATAAAACTGTCGACAACAACACATAACTGTTTCATTATTTATATTTATTATTATTATCGGTAGGAGAGAACTTAAATCTCCTGCGACTGTGATAAATTATTCTCTTCGAGTCCTAGAAGTGCTGTGTATCCACCACACCACAAGCAATTGTCTGGTTGTACAGGCATTCCTGGAGTCGCTGGATCCGTTCCCCGGCATGGACGAGAAGGAGATCGCCGACTACCTCTACCTCAAAAGCAACGAGATTGAACCACGGAACCAAGTCAAGCCGATGCCTAAATTCGTAAGTCTTCTCTCGTCTGTACATTCCACCACTGGGCACGGGTTTGGGATTATAGTTTATTTATTTCCAACCTAATGCGATGATGTAAACAGCAAATTTTTCTTATTGACCTTTAAGAGTCTGTACAACTTCAAATCGCTTTGGTTGATTCTGCATAACAGTGGAAGTGTCAGATCAACCATTTTGGAAAAAATATGTAGTAAAATTGAGAATATACACTGATTACAATAAAACACGATTCCTGAAAATTTTCTTGATAGAAATTGAAAAAACAACAACCATACCTTCGTATGTGTGTGTAACTAAGTTTCGAGCGGATAATAGATATTTTTATCTAATTCAAAGATTGTATATGAAAAGTTGTATGAATTTTAAATGTATCATGAATTCCTCCAATCGCGTATACAATAAAAGTATAAGTTTTGGCTGCCAATTTTGCGAATATCGTAATAAACTATTATTTCGCCCTACCAACGCCATCTATTGGCTATTAGATTACGTAAAACAGTCCCCCCTTAAACTTGCCTCGAAATTTTACAAGAAAACCACTATTCAGTAAGTACTTCACATATACTTATTATTAACTGCCTCCGTGGCCGAACGGTTACCATGCCGGACTGCCACGCAGAGGTCCCAGGTTCGATTCCCGGGCCGAGAGAAATAGTTGTATGGCCTACAATTATTTCTCTCGTGAGTTTGGGTGTAATTTGTGGTTGTCTATGCGTGTGTCCATGGCACCCGCGACACAGGGTTTCCCTAGTGCGGGGCTATGTTGAGTGTGTGCGTTATTTATTTATTTATTATTATTATACTAATGATTTTTTTTATATCAACTGAACTAAATAGAACTTTATATATATACATTACGAATTAATACGGGAATAATTTGAATTTGATCTAAGGTAGTATCCATTGCAAGCGTAATAAGTATTTAATTATTATGATAATTTAATAACAGTAAGTAAAGTAGAGCTCCTTGTGAAAGAGTTCGTCCAGGGTGGTACTGCCACCTTACCTATTTCTGCCCCCAAGCAGTAATGTCAGCATTGCTGCGTTCCGGTTCCTAAGGGTAATTAGGTGCTGGGGGCCTACTATGAGCTTATAACCAACCAGCCGAGTACCATTCAATTCACTGGACAAACTGAATTGCTTAAATTCGTATCATGACCTACACAAAGTTGAACGGGAATGGCTTGGCAGGATGATGAGTTTTACTTTTTAAACGTTAATTATTGTCTCTGGCTGGAGCGAGATGGAACTACATACTAAATCATATGAAATAAGTAGACAGATGTACGATCCTGGGAGCGTTCAAGCGCTATTTATAGATTGTGTTCAAACTGAGAATAATTATATTTTTTTGTTAATTTTATTATTAATTATACTTATTACGTTATTTTGTAATATCGGCAACTTTTCAATCATGCTTTACAATTTGTCGTACGACATAATTACATGTCATGTCTAGTCATTGTCATTGAAATTAATAACATGAGTTTGTGATTTGATAACATAATTGGAACGTTTCTTGTATTCGTACATTTTCATTGATTGCATTAAAGTCAAATTTGGCACTGTTTAAAAGTTATTTTCGGTCAATAAAATTATTAAAATTCCATTTAAAAATTGCAATAACATTCATGCCAATAATTTATCAACAATTTTATCAAAAGCTTGGGAACTTGATCTAAAATTTTCAAAAAACGCTCAATAGTTATAGGTGTAATAGAATCACAAGGCATTAAATATTAGAAAAATCGAACGACTGTCACCAATGGCAATTCAAAATATTACTTGTGTCTGCTAAACTTTTTTCACTATAAAATAACGATTTTGTAGGATAATTACTGAGATTCGCCTCCAATCTCAAGCAAAAAACATTGCAATAATGTTTATATCGCAAAATCAGCGATGAATTAGGTGCATCTAAGTCACAAATCACGATTTAGAAGCGGGTCTCAAATCTTGCCGATTAGTAGGAGTAAATAAACTTGATCTTTGAATTTTAAACGATGCCAAATCAATGTATGTAGTACCAATGTAATTTTTGCTGGTACAGATCGGCAAGACTACAGTGTGTAGACTACAGAGTGGTAAAAAAGAGATAAATGGCTTAAATGCCTGAAGTAATGAGTTACTTCAAACTAATAAAAAACAATCTTATCACCCACAATGTAATTGATAAATTTTTGTTTAATTTTAAAATGTGTCAGAAATTACTTACCTTTCTCGCACACAAATTCATACAGATCTTAAAACATGTATGAGGTTAGATCAATTTTGGTCAATTAAGATATATGAAGTATCTATCTATCTAATCTATAATAGTATTTATTTATTGACAATTGGCTATATAACCTAAAAAGATAACAATTACAAATAATAAAACTTAACGAAATTTCTTAAAAATGTAACGAAATCTAAAAAAAAGTAGTCACGGGGTAACTTTTTTTGAATTGCTTATTCTTACAGATTTGCATGGCAAATGGTACGTCTTGATACGATTTTGCTATAAAAGAAAAGGTGAACGGATTTCGAATGGAGAACGTAGACTGCATGAACAGTGAATTGTTTTTGTGAGGTCATAGTACGAATTTGACAGGCAATCCCACTTACAGGCTTAAATAG